CAGCAACCCGTGCCTGAACGGCGGCACGTGCAAGTCCAAGGACCACGGCCGGGACTACAAGTGCTACTGCCCCCACGGGTACAAGGGCGAGCGCTGCGAGATCAACCGCTACACCACCACGCCCTCGCGCCCCACCACCACGGAGAACGACATCTGCGACAGCAACCCATGCCTGAACGGCGGCACGTGCAAGTCCAAGGACCACGGCCGGGACTACAAGTGCTACTGCCCCCACGGGTACAAGGGCGAGCGCTGCGAGATCAACCGCTACACCACCACGCCCTCGCGCCCCACCACCACGGAGAACGACATCTGCGACACCAACCCGTGACTGAACGGCGGCACGTGCAAAGTCCAAAGGACCACGGCCGGGACTACAAGTGCTACTGCCCCCACGGTACAAGGGCCGAGCGCTGCGAGATCAATCCGCTACACCACCACGTCCTCGCGACCCACCAGCACGGAGAACGACATCTGCGACACCAACCCATGCCTGAACGGCGGCACGTGCAAGTCCAAGGACCACGGCCGGGACTACAAGTGCTACTGCCCCCACGGGTACAAGGGCGAGCGCTGCGAGATCAACCGCTACACCACCACGCCCTCGCGCCCCACCACCACGGAGAACGACATCTGCGACAGCAACCCATGCCTGAACGGCGGCACGTGCAAGTCCAAGGACCACGGCCGGGACTACAAGTGCTACTGCCCCCACGGGTACAAGGGCGAGCGCTGCGAGATCAACCGCTACACCACCACGCCCTCGCGCCCCACCACCACGGAGAACGACATCTGCGACACCAACCCGTGCCTGAACGGCGGCACGTGCAAGTCCAAGGACCACGGCCGGGACTACAAGTGCTACTGCCCCCACGGGTACAAGGGCGAGCGCTGCGAGATCAACCGCTACACCACCACGCCCTCGCGCCCCAGCACCACGGAGAACGACATCTGCGACAGCAACCCATGCCTGAACGGCGGCACGTGCAAGTCCAAGGACCACGGCCGGGACTACAAGTGCTACTGCCCCCACGGGTACAAGGGCGAGCGCTGCGAGATCAACCGCTACACCACCACGCCCTCGCGCCCCACCACCACGGAGAACGACATCTGCGACACCAACCCGTGCCTGAACGGCGGCACGTGCAAGTCCAAGGACCACGGCCGGGACTACAAGTGCTACTGCCCCCACGGGTACAAGGGCGAGCGCTGCGAGATCAACCGCTACACCACCACGCCCTCGCGCCCCACCACCACGGAGAACGACATCTGCGACACCAACCCGTGCCTGAACGGCGGCACGTGCAAGTCCAAGGACCACGGCCGGGACTACAAGTGCTACTGCCCCCACGGGTACAAGGGCGAGCGCTGCGAGATCAACCGCTACACCACCACGCCCTCGCGCCCCACCACCACGGAGAACGACATCTGCGACACCAACCCGTGCCTGAACGGCGGCACGTGCAAGTCCAAGGACCACGGCCGGGACTACAAGTGCTACTGCCCCCACGGGTACAAGGGCGAGCGCTGCGAGATCAACCGCTACACCACCACGCCCTCGCGCCCCACCACCACGGAGAACGACATCTGCGACACCAACCCGTGCCTGAACGGCGGCACGTGCAAGTCCAAGGACCACGGCCGGGACTACAAGTGCTACTGCCCCCACGGGTACAAGGGCGAGCGCTGCGAGATCAACCGCTACACCACCACGCCCTCGCGCCCCACCACCACGGAGAACGACATCTGCGACACCAACCCGTGCCTGAACGGCGGCACGTGCAAGTCCAAGGACCACGGCCGGGACTACAAGTGCTACTGCCCCCACGGGTACAAGGGCGAGCGCTGCGAGATCAACCGCTACACCACCACGCCCTCGCGCCCCACCACCACGGAGAACGACATCTGCGACACCAACCCATGCCTGAACGGCGGCACGTGCAAGTCCAAGGACCACGGCCGGGACTACAAGTGCTACTGCCCCCACGGGTACAAGGGCGAGCGCTGCGAGATCAACCGCTACACCACCACGCCCTCGCGCCCCACCACCACGGAGAACGACATCTGCGACAGCAACCCATGCCTGAACGGCGGCACGTGCAAGTCCAAGGACCACGGCCGGGACTACAAGTGCTACTGCCCCCACGGGTACAAGGGCGAGCGCTGCGAGATCAACCGCTACAGCACCACGCCCTCGCGCCCCACCATCACGGAGATCGACATCTGCGACAGCAACCCATGCCTGAACGGCGGCACGTGCAAGTCCAAGGACCACGGCCGGGACTACAAGTGCTACTGCCCCCACGGGTACAAGGGCGAGCGCTGCGAGATCAACCGCTACACCACCACGCCCTCGCGCCCCACCACCACGGAGAACGACATCTGCGACACCAACCCGTGCCTGAACGGCGGCACGTGCAAGTCCAAGGACCACGGCCGGGACTACAAGTGCTACTGCCCCCACGGGTACAAGGGCGAGCGCTGCGAGATCAACCGCTACACCACCACGCCCTCGCGCCCCACCACCACGGAGAACGACATCTGCGACACCAACCCGTGCCTGAACGGCGGCACGTGCAAGTCCAAGGACCACGGCCGGGACTACAAGTGCTACTGCCCCCACGGGTACAAGGGCGAGCGCTGCGAGATCAACCGCTACACCACCACGCCCTCGCGCCCCACCACCACGGAGAACGACATCTGCGACACCAACCCATGCCTGAACGGCGGCACGTGCAAGTCCAAGGACCACGGCCGGGACTACAAGTGCTACTGCCCCCACGGGTACAAGGGCGAGCGCTGCGAGATCAACCGCTACACCACCACGCCCTCGCGCCCCACCACCACGGAGAACGACATCTGCGACAGCAACCCATGCCTGAACGGCGGCACGTGCAAGTCCAAGGACCACGGCCGGGACTACAAGTGCTACTGCCCCCACGGGTACAAGGGCGAGCGCTGCGAGATCAACCGCTACACCACCACGCCCTCGCGCCCCACCACCACGGAGAACGACATCTGCGACACCAACCCGTGCCTGAACGGCGGCACGTGCAAGTCCAAGGACCACGGCCGGGACTACAAGTGCTACTGCCCACACGGGTACAAGGGCGAGCGCTGCGAGATCAACCGCTACACCACCACGCCCTCGCGCCCCACCACTACGCGTGCACCCCCAACCACTACCGGTGATGGTCCCTGTGAACCAAACCCATGCGAGGTACGTGTGCTGTTTAGCTTTTTCATATGTTTTGTTTTGTGGTCAAATGACTTTAGTTGTCGTTATGTACCTGTGCTCATGCATTCTTTGATGCAACTTTACAGGGGTGCATGCAACCGCACACATATGTGCGTTACACTCATCTCATTACTCACCCATCCACGTCGTTTTTGTGTGTTTTCTTTGCGTTTGATAGAATGGCGGTACGTGCGAGGTGTACTGGTGGCTCTTCTTCACGTGCCACTGCCCTGAGGGCGTCTCTGGACGCACCTGCGAACATGTCGACACCACCGCAACTACACGTGCTCCAACCACTACAACGACAGAGGCGACACCCACACGTCCGCGTACGACCACACCGCGCACAACAGCTGCAACAACGCCCAGGCCAACCACAACAACGACACCAGCAGCCACGACCCTGCCTGGCTACACATGCTTGAAGGCACGCCAGTGTGAGGCAGCTCCGCCAGGCGAGAAGTACTGCAACACGGCTGTGCTGCAGCTGAACTGTGGTCCACGGAGAGTCATCAAGGTTGCGCATGCGTTCTACGGTCGTCGTGACAAGGACGTGTGCCCTGATCCGCTGCTCCGTGACGGCAGCACAGACTTGACAACGTGCTCCATCCAGGCAACTGACCTTGTTGCAGACATTTGCGACGGCGAAGAGGCGTGCCGTGTGTCTGCATGCAACTCTGTCTTCTCCGATCCGTGCGTGGACACGTACAAATACCTCGAGGTCGACTACCAGTGTGTCGATGAGGACGATGTTGACGAGGAGGTTCGCTGTGGCGAGCACACGACCACACGGGCACCCACCACCACCACTGAGCGTCGCACCACAACAACGGAGCGCCCAACTACCACCACTGAGCGTCGCACCACAACAACGGAGCGCCCAACTACCACCACGGAGCGTCGCACCACAACAACTGAGCGTCGCACCACAACAACGGAGCGCCCAACTACCACTACGGAGCGTCGCACCACAACAACGGAGCGCCCAACTACCACCACTGAGCGTCGCACCACAACAACGGAGCGTCGCACCACAACAACTGAGCGTCGCACCACAACAACGGAGCGCCCAACTACCACTACGGAGCGTCGCACCACAACAACGGAGCGCCCAACCACCACCACAGAGCGTCGCACTACGACAACGGACCGCCCAACTACCACCACGAAGCGTCGCACCAAGACAACGGACCGCCCAACTACCACCACGGAGCGCCCAACAACAACCACGGAGCGTCGTACCACGACCACTGAGCGCCCAACTACCACCACGAAGCGTCGCACCAAGACAACGGACCGCCCAACTACCACCACGGAGCGCCCAACAACAACCACGGAGCGTCGTACCACGACCACTGAGCGCCCAACTACCACAACGGAACGCCGCACCACGACAACGGAACGCCCAACTACCACAACGGACCGCCCAACTACCACCACTGAGCGTCGCACCACAACAACTGAGCGTCGCACTACGACCACTCCTGGTGGAGATGTGTGTGGTGACTTGACTGCGACACGTGACTTCCTTGGCAACCTCATCTTCTGCGGTCAGTCTGGCCATGCGTGCCCAGGTGGAAGCTTCTGTGGCAGCCGCGACTACTGCTGTGACCGCGCGGAGCCATCCACCACCATCACGGAGCGTCGCACCACGACAACTGAACGCCCAACTACCACAACGGAGCGCCGCACCACGACAACGGAACGCCCAACTACCACAACGGAACGCCGCACCACGACAACGGAACGCCCAACTACCACAACGGACCGCCCAACTACCACCACTGAGCGTCGCACCACAACAACTGAGCGTCGCACTACGACCACTCCTGGTGGAGATGTGTGTGGTGACTTGACTGCGACACGTGACTTCCTTGGCAGCCTCATCTTCTGCGGTCAGTCTGGCCATGCGTGCCCAGGTGGAAGCTTCTGTGGCAGCCGCGACTACTGCTGTGACCGCGCGGAGCCTTCCACCACGACAACGGAGCGCCAAACTACCACCGCTGAGCGTCGCACCACGACAACAGCGCCTGGCACCCGTACAGAAACGCGCACAGAGACTAAGATGGAGACAACGCGTGCACGGACCACCACGGCTCCTCGCACTACAGCGACGGCAACTGCCACCGCCACACACACGCGCACACGCACCGAGGCCACCACGACAGTCCCTGCCACACACACGCGCACACGCACCGAGGCCACCACCACAGCGACGGCCACGCGTACAGCGACACGCACACGCACCGATGCGGCCAGCACCACCACACCCATGTCTCGCATCCACTATGTCACCATCACCTTCCCCGACATTGACTTCTTCAGCGTGTTCACACACCCGTCCTCTGCGCGTGCGCTTGAGTTTGCGGGCGCCGTGTGGGAGAGGCTGGTCGAGGAGGACGTTGCCGGACCCAAGGAGATCCGCACCATCGACGTGTCGCTCGGTTCGAACGGTATCGACGTGATTGTCGGCGCCATCAACGCCGACGCCGCCGACCGTATTGAGCGCTACGTTGGCGCCCGCGCGTTCTGCATGCCCGTGTCGGAGGTGCAGATTGTGCTGTGCACGAGCGGTGCGCATCGCCAGCTCACCACCACGCGTGACACGCGCGCAACCACGACGGGCACGTCCGCGCGTCGCTGGACCACCACCACGACCGTGCGCATCAGCAACGGTGAACGCGTCGGTGCAGACAACAGCAACGGTGGCAACGGTGGCAACGGCGACAGTGGCTCCACGGGTGACGGGTCCGGGTTCAAGTTCTCCACCACGACCAGCATCATCCTTGGCGTGGGCACCCTCATCATCGCCATCGCTGTGATTGCCGTGCTTGTTGTTCGGCGCCAGGCCAAGCGACGCGAGGCGCTGCGGTCGGAGCAGTTTGCATTCAGCGACCACCGCCGCCGCAAGTCCAGCATCACCGCCTTTGCGCAGGCCCTGCACTCGATGAGCGCGACAGACGTGTCCACGCCGCCTGCGTACGCCAGCCCGCAGCACAGCGCGCCGCCATCCTCCACAGCACCAACAGAGGTGGAGGTTGCTCGCATCAACACGGCCCACGCCCACCACGCATACCACCACGCCGACCCCAGCAGCGACGCGTCCAGTGCAACGTACGACCGCGCAACCTACGAGCGGGCCAGCTCTGCAGGGTATGATCCAATGGCGCAGAGCACAACGGCAGGCGGCATCCGCCTACTGCCTGGTCGCTCCACGCACGGCGATGACGCTGTGGTGGCAGGGTACACCGCCGCCAGCGCTTCTGGCGACTATGACATTGCAAGCAACCACTATGGATACTCCTCGACGCGTTACGACAACGCAGACCCGTATGCTGTTGCAGAGCCTGACATGACGGCGCCCGAGCAGGCACACATTCTCTCGCGCCAGCGCAGGTTGTCCCGTGGGAACTTGCTTTCTCCACGCACGAACGCCCTGTACACCCGCAACGCCCCCGAGATTGTTGCTGCGTCCAACGTGACGCGCGCAAACGCGCCGCCGCCACCGCCATTCCCGCTGCACGAGAGCAAGCGCAAGAAGCGCGTCGTTATCTCGGCTGATGTGCGCGACAACGTGCCGCTCGGTGCACCGGCGAAACCGCCCCGCTCGCGCACGAGCATGGACGAGAGCAGCACGGACGACGCAGATGTTGATGCGGAGATGCAGCGGCTGCACCTCGGGGCAGGTCGGCGATCAGAGGAGCACGAGCTCAAGTCGATTCTGTCGCGGGCGCGCGCTGCAACACCCACGTCTGCACAACTCCGACACAGGACCCCAACGCCGTCCCTTGATGTCTGAGCACGTGCTGTGCTCTATGTATGTGTTCGTGTCTGTGCCTGTGTGTGTGTGTGTGTGTCTGTGTGTCTGTGTGTCTGTGTGTCTGTGTGTCTGTGTGTGTGTGTCTGTTTGTGTTTGCTCTAGTTCTGCTGCTTCCCGATGTATCTTTTCGCTCTTCCTTGCCAGCTCTGTTGACCAGTGCTGGCTCAGGTTCACTTGGCAGTTTTGCATCATGGTGTTTCAATGCATCATCAGTGTTTGCTCACGCTGTCGTTTGACCACAAGCAACTCCTGCCCTTCTCCCTGTTCTCCTGAGTTTGGCTGACGGGTGCTTGGCTTGCCCTTCTTCGTATTCCCATAAACGAACACCTTTGCAACAACCCAGTGAATTGGTGTGACAGACATCGACGACACGAACAAACAGCGCACGGTGCGACGGTGGGCTGTGTGTTATACGTGGTTCTTGTATTGGGTTATGACGCCAGCCATCGTACGAAGGGCTGATAAAAAAGAAGTTGAGATTAGAACAACGGAAACAAAAGGCAACAACACTCCAACCAAACAAACGCAAGCGATCACATCATGTTACAACACCTCACGGAAGCAGAAAAAGACCTAAGGAAGGATGACCGCACGAACAACATCACGGACACAACCACCCAAAAGAACAGGGGTTGGGCATTCACGCTTCAAACGCGCTGCTTGAAGGAGGAGAGGGTTGGGTAATCAACCATGGCCCTGTGGCAAATCAAACGCAAGGAGAGGTGATGCAACAACGTTAAAAGTGGTGAGGAGTCTGCAAGTGTGCAAGCAGGGCAAGTGTGCGTGTGTGCATGACGTGTGCGTGTGTGCATGACGTGTGCATTTGTGCATGACGTGTGCGTGTGTGCATGAAATATGCGCGGGTTCAAATGGTGTGCAAGTGTACGGCTTACTCCTTGATGCGCGGGTGGATGCGGTCGCGTGGGAAGCCCGAGTACTCGAGGAAGCTGACGTACTTCTCCAGGCCGTACAGCTGGCCCTGATCGAAGTCGGCAATCACCTCCGCCTCAAAGTCGTCAAACAGCGCGAGGTTGAAGCGGTCCTCCTTGAACTGCTGCTCCAGCCCGTAGCCGTAGAACCGAAACAGGCACTCAAGCCCATACCTGGGGGGGGGGGGATGATGGTGAGATAATGGTGGTGAGATAATGATGGTGAGATGAGGGTGGCTGTGCGGAATTGTGGTGGTGATGACGGCCATTTGCACAAAAAGCAGGACTTGCAGCACGCTTGCAACCGCATAACGACACTTGTACATGGAACATGTGCGACAGCCGTACCGGTGGCCGCCCTCTGCGTCGCGGTGCGCCAGCGCACGGAACTCATCGTACATGGCCCTGTGCACACACACACACACATGTGAAGAGTGGAGCGGGTATGAGAGCAAGCCAAAATTGTTGGTCCATCATGAAGGTCTTCCTGTTGCAGCACACAACGCTACCACTGACTGCTTCACATCACACTGCAACCCATAGCGTGGCAGGAACAGCAGCAGGAACAACAGCAGGAACAGCAACAGCGGCCGCACGCACGCACTTGATGAAGCAGTCGCGGAGGAGGTACGACCAGAACCGGTACAGCCGCGGCATGGTCCAGTGGTTCGTCTCGTCCTGCTCGCCTCGCATGCACCTGGTGCACAGCGCGCAAGTCATCCATGGCACCCACGGTGAGGAAAGAACTTCAATCTCAACGCATGTCGCTTGCACTGTTGCGCGGTGCGGAACAGAAAACCACACATACGCACCACGTCAACACTCGCAACAGCCACATGTCTGTCTGTGTGTGTGTGTGTATGTGTGTGTGTGTGTGTCTGTGTGTGTGTGTGTGTCTGTGTGTGTATGTATGTATGTGTGTGTGCTCACTTTTCGTGAAAGGCGGTGTAGGTGTCCTGGTTGAAGCGGACGCCATCAGCAAACACGACCGTCGACCCGCGGTGCTCGTTCTCCTCATCAATGTACCAGCCAACGCCTACAGCAGCACCAAATACACACACACATACATACATACAAGTGTGTAACATGAGCATATGATTCCACGAGAACGCATTTCAGTCTCACCTCCTTCTCATGCGTGTCCCGTGACCACCCTCTCATGGCACTGGATGACGATGATGAACACCCCCTCCCCTTTGTCTGTCTCCTCCCACCTCACCACACCTTGCCATACCACATCCGACAACGCACCCTTCTCTGTAACGGCGTCTGGCGAGTACTTGGTCTTGAACGTCTGCGACCCCTTGGCGTGCTGCGTTCATTCACAACAAGCGAGCGTTCATTCACAACAAGCGAGTGAGCCGCTCACGATGGCAATGAAAGGGAGAGAGATGCATGACACGACAAGGGCGGAGATACGAGCATGTGGAGATCGTGGCAATTGCTGACATGTGCGTTGTACAATGCAACAACAGCGCACACAATGTGCACGACACCACAGCACCACTGCTCCCTTACCTTTGGACGCGTAGGCTTGTAGTAACGAAGAGCCTGAGCAGAGGACGGCAATAGTCATCAATCACACATGTTTTCAAGACGCATCACAAAGAACCGGTAGGAAGCGTGAGAGGGGTGGTGTGTTTACGAACCAACACCACCACAGACAAACAAAGGCATGCACACGTACACACACTCAATCACACACAATCACACACAATCACACACAATCACACACAATCACACATCAGCGCGCACACATCACCATCACCATCACCGCCACGTGAATCAGGGCTGGTGCAGCACCTGTGAGTCCTGGACTTTGTTGAGCGGGGAGCGGCGGCCCGGGCGGGAGCCGGTCGAGTTGGCGCGGCGGTGGCGCCCGCCATTCCCCTGCGTATTCGCAAACGTCTGCACATGGCCAATATGCAATGAGGTGTTAGGCGGGGTGGGACTGGAGGGGAGAAGAAGGGGGAGGAGAAGAGGTGTCAATGCACCTGCAGTTGTCTGCTTGTCTGCCTGCCTGTCTGGCTGAGTAAGGGACAGTCATGTAATCACACAGCTGCGCATGCTAAAGAACGCACCGGTTCCCAGTGGAGGGAGGAGGGTGACTCTGAGCGCTTGGAGGCGTTGGAGACGCGGCGATACGGGCTTGCCCGGTCAGCCTGGTGAGGGGAGGAACAAGTAACAAGGTGGGCAGTGTCATCAAAAAAGCACAAGTGAGACAAGAGTGCAGATCGGAGAGAACAGATACACAAGCTGCACGAACAGATAAACAAGCTGCACTGATGAGCCAAAGCACAATACACGTACGCTCATGTGTGCGCGGTCGTAGACGATGCGGAGGAGGTTGATGCCGCTGGCCGACAGCTGGTCCTCAGGATACGCGCGACGCCTGACGTGTGGTAGTGGTGGTAATCGTGGTGGGCGATGGTGAGTATGATGATGGCCATGATGGTGGTGACCGGGTTATTTGTGAAGGTCGACTGGGGCGACTGTGGGGCGGTGGCGTTTGCACAAGAGCTGCATGGTTCATGAAGCTTACGCTGCTGGCTGTGGATCGTCGTCGAGGCAGCCGTCATCCTCAATGGGACCGTCTAAAACACACACACACACACACACACACACACACACACACACACACACACACACACACACACCAAAGGCAGCGGGGATGAAGGTGGAGGTCAGACAACATGTGGTTGGTCCTTCGACACGCAGCATGATCAACAACGATGAACAACCACTCCAGCCACGCTGAACAACCACTGCCAAACACACACACACACACACACACTCCACGACATGAGTCCCCGGCAGCTACAGCGCACACCTTCAAACTCGAACGAGTCCAGCAGCTTGTCGAGAGGCTTGTCCTCCACCTTGTGGCCATTCGCTTCCGTGGCATCCTTCTTGTTACCTTTCTCATCGCCAAAGCTGCTCGGAAAGCACAAGTAGATGTGACACAGGTTGGGCAGCGAGCATGGTGAGGTGCATGGTAAGACGCATGAGGCGCAAAAACACAGAAGCGAAGCAAAGCTCGCTCAGAAGCTTCGCATCTGATTGTCAAGGCATTGCGCCTGGCTCACTCCACATCACACAAATGGCCGGACTCACATCACTGGGATGAGGCAGCCGTCCGTCTTTGGCTTGATGGCATCCACTGTCGACAAACAAGGCATAGGTAGGGGCCCTCACATGTGAACACATTGCTGGTGCAACGCTGCACAGCAACCAAGTCGACAGTGCACACACACACACACACACACACACACACACACACACACACACACACACACACACACACACACACACACATGTCGCGCACGCGTGCGTGTTCACAGGTTCAAACGGACCGATGTCCGAAGACCTGGTGGTTGGCTCGGATGAATTGCGCTGGCGCCAGTTGTGGTTGATACCTGAGCAACCAGCCATGCGTGCAAACCGAGCGTGCGTGAGACGATGCAGCGACAAACAGGCGGCGATAGAGCGCATGTATAGAAGGGGGAGGGTGTGACGCAAACGTGTGCTGCGAAGATGAGACGTGGCACTGCAAACACACACATACACACACACGCACACACACGCACACACGCACACGCACACACACCTGGGCGACGGCCCTTGCCGAAGCTGTGCGTACGTCGACGCTGATCGCCAAAGGAGTCGGAGCGCTGCCGACTGCTTGAGCGATGGCCGCCATACCGGCTACTCGAAGCTCCGCGGGAGGACATTGTGCTGCTCTTTGCTGGGGTGTGCTGGAATGCGCGGACGCGTGTGTGGGTGGGTGGGTATGTGCTGCCTTGTCTAGCCCCGTCGCTGGTCAACAGATGCTGCTACTCGACTGCGGCTGACCGGTAATGGTGCACACGCGAGAGAGAGAGAGAGAGGGGCGGCAACAGACACACGGGTGTGTGTGCGTGTGTGTGGTGGACGTGATGCTGTGCCCTGTCGAAGAAAATGAGCGGCAGCGACGGGATATGAGAGATGTTGAGCAATATGTTGAGGAGGAATGACGAGGGAGATGTTGAGACAATCCAAACAAACACGTTCACGCCAGTCAAGAGGACGGAAAAAAATTGTGGAGTGAGAATCGGGCGAGCGACAGCGGAGCCCTTTATTCACCAAGCCTGCAGGCACGTGTGCGCGGTGCAATGACAGCTGGCGCAAGCCCGCACAAGATAGCAAACAAACAGGACTCACGTTTGCTTGCTGATCCGGTTTGGAATGGAATGAAAGGCGTCAGCTGGCGCCGGGTGTGTGGTAAACACTCACGTTCCTCCTTCGTGAGCGGCTGTTGCGGCAATGGTGCGAGTTGCCTTAACTCGTGTTGATGTGCTGCGGTTCAGGGTTTTGTTTGGGTTCCTTCGCGGCGTTCGAATGTGGCACGCACGCCAACAGCTAGGACGTCGATGCTTGCTTGCTTGCTTGCTTGCCACCTGACGTGATGATGGTTGCAGCCCGCCCGCAGAAAAAAAAAAAGGCAGACAGGAAGCGCAAGCGACGGGCTGGCTGGCGCGGGTGCGGGAGGGGAGGGTGTTTGGCAAGGACCGCACAAGAAAAAGGGCGGGTTCTGTTGCCGTTGCTGTTGTGCTTGCTGGTTCTTCATGCGCGTTTGTTTCGTGGCGTTTGGTTGGCGGGCGGGAATGTGCCACGCGTGTCCCGAAAAAACGATGACCGAACTGCAATTTGGATGAAATTTTCCCTAAATTTTCGCTGCGTGGTTGGGTTGCGGGTTTTGCCGCGAACCGGTGTTTGCATGTGAAACAGCACAAGCAGTAGCCAACTGTTGTGGGGTGCGTTGCGATGCAAAGGTATCGACACACGACACACAAAAGCATACACAGCTTCATCTTGGCTGTTGCACGCTTTGACGTTGGCTGTTGTTTGTTGTTGTTGTTTGTGTTTGTGACGTGAGCAGTGCATGCAGGGCTGCATGTTGCGCGTTTGACGTGTGTTGAAGAGAAGAAGGAGAGGAGGACGAAGAGTACGAGCGGCACACACCACTTCTTGCAACCACACACACACACACACACGCACAGAAATCGCACCCACGTCGTTGTCGCAACTGTCACTGTCCCACATCGCACCCACCACACCCATCAACAGCAGCAGCAGCAGCAGCATCTGACTTGTCTCACACCAGCTTGAGCAACACAAGGCCGTCATCTGCTGACTCCGGTCACAGCGACATCGCTTCACATCGCTTCACATCGCTTCACATCGCTTCGCAGCACAGCACAGCACAGCACAGCACAGCACAACACACGCAGTGGCACTGCCAACGCCGCGTACATGTTTCCACGATGGCTGCGCCCCATGGTGGTTGTGGTGGTGTTGTTTGGGCTGGCATCGTTCGGCCATGTGGTGTATCTGCGCCTGCGACCGGAGATCCGGCGCACGCTGCGGTTCCCGCCGCTGCCGCCAGCATCAACGCCATACCCGCCACTACCAGTCATTGAGGACTTGGAGGTGCTTGTGGACTTCTTCCGCACGTCCCTTGACGATGTCGCTGAGGACACGACAAAGTCCCTCTGCGTTGCCGCGTCGTACAGTTTTGGCTGGACGCTCGTCGGTGACCGTAACTTTCGGCTGGCCAGAACCGCCGGCATGGCGCTTGGCTTGGGTGCCTACATGGGCTGCGATCGGCTCGGCGACGCCATTGGCGACCGAGCCGCGGATCTCATCACCTCCACCATGACTATGCTCGGGTGCGTGCGTGCGTGTGCGTGTGCGTGCGCGTGTGTGTGTGTCTGTGTGTGTGTGTGTGTGTGTGTGTGTGTGTGTGTGTGTGTCTGTCTGTCTGTCTGTGTCTGTCTGTCCGTGTGTGTGTGTGTGTCTGTGTGTCTTGTCTGTCTGTGTGTATGTATGTATGTGTGTGTCTGTCTGTCTGTATGTCCGTGTCCGTGTGTATGTGTATGTGTGTGTGTGTGTGTTTATATCTGTGGGCGAGCTTGTCTCCGTCCCCATGTGCATGTCCATCAGTGCGTGCATGGCCGTGGCTACACAAGACACGCGATTGCTCTCATGCCACCTTCTGCCTTCTCCTCTCCCCCACGCCAACGTCTCAATGTTAACCGGCTCCCCGCCCTTCCTACTTGTGCACTTGCAGGTATGTACCGCCGCTGCCCGAACCCAAGCGGGAGAAGAACTTTTCGCTGTTATCACGCGTCGCAGATGACGCCATGGAGGACAGCTTCAAGCTCGTGTGCCTGTGGTCGCACATCATGATTGGCGGCTTGCTCGGTGATAACCTCATTGTCAACACCTTTGGCATGCAATCCACCAGCCTGAACTGGGCCATTCGCCTCGGGGTGCCTGCTGCCAAGTACAACCTCTGCAACATCTACGCCGACTATCTTGGCGAGTGGGTGCACTATCACATTGGACACATGACGCAGTCATGGTCGCCCCAGCTCAGAATCGCCTCCATCACCACCACCACCAGCAGCAGCAGCAGCGACACCACACATGCTCATGGGCCGTCCCTCCTTACAGGCGCGTGCTCCAGTTCCGGCAGTTGCGGTAACCGGAACAGTCGCCACCATTCTGCGCATGGTGGTGGCGGTGGTGATGGTGCTCAATGTGGGCGCTATGGTGGTGATTGCATGGCAGGTCACGATGGCGGGAATGGTGGCAGCAGGCGCGATAGCAGAGCAGTCGACGTGTGCGGTTCGCCGAGCTTCACAACCTGGCTGTGCTCGTGGTGGACGCTGGTGTGGGAGTGGCTGGAATGGCTGCTCCCGTGGTCGCAGCCGCCTGCAAACGGGCTCACACACGCCCCAACACCACGCAGAGGCGCAGCCACAGCAACAGTCGCAGCAACAGCGAGCACAGTGCGGACACGGGAGGAGCGGCTTCGGGCTGCACAGGAGCTGCTACAGCGGTACTCGCGCCCGCGCCACGGCGGCAGTAGTGGTGGTGGTGGTGGTAGTAGTGATGACAGTGATGGTGGTGGTGGTGATGGCAGTGATGGTGGCGATGCTTGTGGTATTGGTGAACGTGGTGCTGGTGAC